AAACTTCTACAATTATTTTATTTAAGAATAACAAACATTTAATAATTAAATTATTTATTAATAATAAATGTTTGTTATTCTTAAAAGTAATACTGATATGAAAAACAAAGTAGCCATTATGTACTCCGTTTTTTAATTTCACCAGCAAAAGATTTTTATAAAATATAAATAGGTATATACTTAATTAAGTATCTAACAATTTATATTTGATTATCGGGTATAATCTTTTCTCATTTCGTCCGGGGGGGGGGGGGTTTTGGGGGGTTCGGGGTTTGTAATTTTTTTGGGGTATTTTTTTTTTTTTTTTTATTATTTATTATGTTAAAACTAAATTCCATGGAAACTGTCCATGGCAGTAAATATTTACTTCTACAGGTCATCATAGCTCAAAAACACAATTTTCCGATCTGATTCTTGGGGAAAATTGTTTAAGTTTATTATATAGACTCACCTCTTCAGAGATTATTGGGATTTTGTACATTTTGAATTAAAATTCAACAAAACGCAGGTAGTTTCTGATTATTTTCGGGAACATTTTATATGATTTTTTTTTAATTATTTTAGAATTATATGTAAAAAATTCAGTTATTTTTGAAGTTATTCAGTTTTATGCACTAAACTAGTTACTTATTCTTTTTATCGCTTTCTTACCAATCATTTTCGATAGTCCTTGTAAGTAAAATGTACATAATAAGCTAACGCACACAATGACAAATAAAAATTCGTCACGCGTTTTCGTGCTGAAGTTCGTCTTTACGCCAATATTCTAAGTCTATGGGTACTCCTATACATTCTTATTAACGGTTTGAGATCGCCAATAAAAGATTGAATTTTTTTCATAAAAATGAAACATACTGTAAATAAATACTTTATCATTATTATAACACAAGTCAAAACTAATATTTACACAGTGTATTGACGTTCCTACCATATCGTCCATGACGAGATAAAGATTTCACAAAATGTCATTATGAATTATAACACTACTCCAATGCGTTACCACAACACTTAAACAAGGATTATTGTTATATTTGTAGAACTTAGTTATTTATACGATAAATTATTACAGTTCGAGTCTGTTAGAAGTATTTTCTTGCTAAATGTATTTATTATAATTGTGAAATACAAGTAGAATGAAACTGGGAAGAACTGGTAAATAAAACGTAGGATATTTCATGTAATGTATAGATTGAGCAATAAATTGTTTCGAGGAATTGATGTCAAGACCGCCAACAACAAAAATTCCTACTTAATGTCTCAGAAATAAATGGAAGCCCGAGTCCAGTCGTGGGACTTGTATAATACGGATTATAACAGGGAAAAGAAATAACCTTTCTTATTATATTTTGATTATATTTTATTATTTGCTCCACTTTTTACTACATAGGTTGCGATTTTTTAGTTTTAACGTTCTGATCATGTATTTTTTTCCTCATAAGTAAATATTAGGTCTTTACCAATAATATTACCGCTTTTATGAAATAAGTTTACGTAATTTTTTTTTGTATTTTTAACATGCAATCGATGCAATTTTGCCAACGCAGTTGCAGATTATTAATTTCCTTCTTGACGAAATCATCAGTACGAGAGGCAACAAATTCTTCAGAGGCATTTTGTAATGCCTCTCGTGCATTGAACTTTTTTCCCTCCAAAAAGAAATCCAAATTTTGGAAAAAGTAGAAGTCTGTAGGCGCAAGGTGAGTACATAGGTTGGTACTTGCTAAGAAGCTGCGCTAAATCACATCGTCGCTCAACCCCCAAACAGTGAGCATAACTTTTCTAGGGGTAAGTTTTCGTTTAGAGCATTGATTAGGTTCTGAACCAGGATCCAAACAACTTACTGAGAGAATCCAGTTTTTCGTCGCAGGTAACAATACGGTTCAAAATACCTTCTTTCTGTTGATCAGTGTCTCGACGCAAATAGACCAATTTGTTTTGAAGCTAATCATCAACTTCCACAATCGCCTTTGATTCGTTATTGTTTAAGCGCAATGGCAGGGCGCGGACCGCGAACTCAAAGAGGTTGTGGGTTCGAATCCATGAATCGAATGTTACTAGATGGCGCTCGTGATCGCAAGTAACCAGAATGTTTTTTTATAGATTTTCCTATTAATGTCATAAATCTAATTAAAAAGAAATTTAAATTAATTTCTGAATAAATCATATCCTGATGTGCGTGATGATGCTGATAACGCTTAATAAAAAATCGTTCAGGTTTCATCTTAAAATCAGGTTCCAAACATCATCAGTTTGGATCCCAATCGAAATTAATTTCAGGAGTAAGGTCAGACGTCGTCTCAAGATTATTTCTAATAACTCGATGTGCAATACTATACTATTTAAATATATTAAGGTTCACTATTTATCGCCATGGAATATTTGTATTGCTTTGATGATTTGTTAGTACCAGTTTGTGGTTGCCATTCGAAAAAACTATTTGCCCCATCTATATATCTATACAGCTATATGGTTCTTTATCTTCAGGCTAATAATCAGTTAAGCTATTTCGGTTACTGTGTTTCTACTCCGGATATCCTCATTTCGAAGTCTATCATGTCGAGTAACCCCGATCATATCCCTCTCCTTAGCCTACTCAGCAACCATTCTCTTATGGCCAGCAGTGAACGACCACGTCTGAAATCCTTATGTCATTACTGGCAATAGGCACTGGTTGTAAAATCTTATTTTAAAGTTTTGAATTATACCTGAAGAGAATATGTTCTACAAAAACAAACCTAAGAATATCCCATCATATGCATAGAATGCTCAGTTCTATGAGTGTGTTGAATATGAGAGAGACAATAGTCCTCGCTCGCTACACTAAACTGCTCCAATGTTTGTTGACAGTCATTTTCATCACATATCCTTAAAATAGTAATACAATTTACAATAATTCCCAGACCGACGTATAAACCTGCGTGAGGTTTCTTCCTACATTTTTCGAACACACAGTTTTTTTGTAGAATATGTGTGATTAATAAAAAAAAATACATTTTTTACTAAAATTTGTGTGATAAAAACACCGCTATTAGCCTGACTCTGGACTGCTACTGGGGGAAGTGTTTAAGAGAAAAATCCAATAACTGATTTTAAGGTGACCCGGGATTTGAACCACCACGAACGGACCACATGATCAGCAATTAAATGAATAATAAGTGTAGAAATCAAAACTAAATGGTACTAACACCCACGGACTCTAGACACATAAAAACTTATTTAAGTGCACCAATTGGCAATTTCATTGTTCACAACCAAGTTGCTCGCATACAACGCAATTCAATGCGAGTGTTCTCAGTAACAAAATGTTGGTAAGCTGAATGTCTTGCTACCCGTTGTAAGGGGCACCAGTTCTCCACGCTCTCCATACAAACACAGCAACATTATGCAGTTATTCTGAAAGACCAGACCAAACAATCTGATCTATTCGTTCTGCAACCATAATGTAGCTGCAGTGTGGCTCTACTACGTTAAATAGAACAGTTTATATCTCATAGATGGGGCAAATAGTTTTTTCGAATGGCAACCACAAACTGGTAAGCGAAAATGTAGGGGGACCCACTGCTAGATGGCGCAACGACCGGGTAAGATATGCATGAAGTCGATGGAAGCAGATGGATTGGGACATGTCAAGGGCTGTAATGCTGATGATAATAAAACATACCTCCATGCTGGTATAGGCTTAATGCTGATGTGTTTCGAATGGTGGATGAAGAAAAGCGGAGACTCTCTTTACTGAAAACGAGTTATTCCATCTTAGTCCTCAGGAGTGACAACGCATCTGCATTTTGATACTAAATCGAATACTGATATTGATGATAATGAGCCAGAAGATTTACTTATCATCGGGTTGATTGTGTGCTCGTTTGTCATACTTGTACTATTAAAATAAAATAATAAATAAAATAAATGAATAGAACTTTCTATCGTAACGTGGAGGACTTACATATTGTATGAATTGCTTACTATTATACACCACAAAATACTTATTTCGTACGGGATTAGAATCCATAGTCCCGCAGCGCCGATTGCAAACGGCCTTGGCGCTACCAATAATATGATATAATTAATTACTTATGCAAATAAAGATCCATTTTTTTTTAAATTTATCACTACGATAATAATTTAGTGACGTTAAAACTATAAGTTGAAAATTCAAAAAAAAAAACAGATGTCATTGACAATTTTATTACCACACATTCAACATCAATTTATTTTGACGAAATTTGACAAGCATCTAACATACAAAATATTATACTGCTAACACAAAAGTTGCTTTTATATCTTCAGACTACATATATACATCATATTCTTGTAAACTTCTTTTCTTATATCAAATTTAAAATATTTTGCGAGTGCAATCTTCTTATAGCAGCTCCCTTTGTCCTTTTGGTGATGATTTCATAGGGCTTGTCCCATGCCAACTGACTTGGTGTAGCATCTTTAGCAACCTGGGTGTAGGTATAAAACAATAAATATTACAAGATGATATATTTACTAAGTGCAACAACAGTATAACAGAAATAAAGATAAGCGAATTATGTGACTGCTTCTACAAAAATAAGAAAATGTAATAATTACCGTTTTCACTTACACACTACATAATTAGGTTTCAAAAAGTGGTTTTTGTATTCACGAGAAAATTCCTCAGTGTAGATATTATTATAAGTTTGAGAACGCTGGGCTATGAAAATAATCACTTGAAACCTAAAGTAATAAATAACATTTTGACGTGCCTTTTAAGAAATAAAATGATCACGCCAATGCCACGGTGCGGCGACGGGGAGTAAAATAAAATTTTCATACTAACACATCATACTACGAGACTTAACATCTCGAGAAAAACACAATATATTATCTCACAAAGTGTTTATTTAATTTTAAACGATTTTAATCATACATGTTATATAAATCATTCCATAAATATTTTCTTATCTGCTAAATCTATGCTGCTAAGCAGCAAGTCTTCTTTATTTGTTGTAATATTTTTATCACCTTTTTGTTCAGATTTTTGTCCTTTTATACTTTTTCGATGTTGCACGAAAAACCACCTGCAATTAAGCATTTGATATTACATATTTATGCAGGATGTTTTCCTGTTGAAATTATTAAATAAAAAAATGTACTCAAATAATTTTTGGCTGTATAGTGGCATTGTAAAAATATTCACTACCCCATTATCGTACCGTTAGTGTCGTAAGAGGCGAAAGAGGGAAACGAACCAGGAGAAGGGCAGCAGCGTTTTTAGCAACTTAAAAATAATAGTAAAAACTGCGGTTAACACAGTATTTTTTCCATCAAGTATATTTCATATTATTAGCCTTTGTTAACATCCTAAATTTCACAGATTTAATAATATATAATGATTAAAATAAACAATAATGGGGTGGTGAATATTTTTACAATGCCACTATACAGTCAAAAATTATTAGATATACTCGTATAATGTTAGTTATTTTATATTATGATATGGGTTCATTTGATAATCTGACTCTTTATTAGAACCAAATACAAATTTTTACTTTAAAAATCATAGTGACATCGGTTTTTATCAGCCCTAAATTTCACATATTTAAGAATGTTAGGGCAATTTTATATATAATTATCGATAATAATTCACGGGGAGATGTTTTACAAACCTAAACAATAATTTTCTGACCATATATTTCTTGTATGTTGGCCACCAGCGTCGCACCCAACTGTTGAGAGACACTGTGCTGTCCAGAAGGAGTGAGGTGTATTTACCGTAAAAGGAAAATATAGAACCAGTACTAGCAGGATTCGCACCCTGAGGGTTCCGAACAAACTTAATTATTTATGTAAAATGTTCAACCATCTTGGGAATTACAGGTAAGGTCGGCAACATTTCTCTAACGAAAATGTATTTCGGATTGTGAGGCATACTTTACTTTGCAGTGAATAACACGTTCTCCCATACATTGGCCTACATTATGGACAATACTCAAATGGCAAAAGCAAGTTTGTAATCGCAAAAACATTTCTCACGTGACATAAAACTATCTAATGATTTCTTATATTTACGCGAATACTACACATTTATTAAAACTACTTTTACGGATTTTATCGCGTTTATTTTACTTTTAATTACTTTTATTTTTAATTACCGACGTTTCGGGCGTTTTCCAGCATCCATAGGTTACGGGGGACTGAGATGACTGACGTCCCGATGTCATTGTTAAAGTACGTGGTAAGTAAGTGAAGATACTCCGGGTTTAACAATGACATCGGGACGTCAGTCATCTCAGTCCCCCGTGACCATGGGTGCTGGAAAGCGCCCGAAACGTCGGGAATTAAAAATAAAAGTAATTAAAAGTAAAATAAATGCGATAAAATCCGTAAAAGTAGTTTTAATCAATAAAAATATCTTTCAAATTCGTTGACTTAGAATTTTGAATTTTGTTCACCTTCAAACGAACGTAGACGAACGAGGAATTAGAAGTTTTTGATAAAAATATACATAAAAGCCTCAACAACTTCTATTGCTAACATCGCAACAGCATAGAACAAGCATTCAATCTTCTTGCTCAAGGAGGACCTTAGATAGAAAGAGATGTTACCTGTAATATCTGTTGTCGTCGTATCTTAAAATAACTATTGATCTGTAAAAACAGTAAAATCCCAGTCGCCAAATTCAATAAAATACCTCATCTTAAGTCTTGGAAGCTTACTGTATCAGAGGCCTCCTCAGTTTTAGGAAGAATTTTTCTTAATCGTCATGCTTGGCAGCCTAATTTAACATCGCAATACTAGACAACTCAGACAGTCTTGCAATTTTAAGCCTGCTTCTAGTCAGTATTGTTACGAGCTCGAGGTTCGTGACAATATAAAATGCCGATTGAATTACCAAAATTTACATTTTTATTACCGAAAACAAATTAAAACTTAAAGGACACTAATCATCAATTACACTGATTTACTTTATTTCGCTCTGAAGCTTCGCTTGTCTCGTTGAATTCAATACTGCCCCGATCGCGCATGCAGCGGCTTTAAATACACTTTTACGCCCAAACATCCAGAATATTCTAGTGGATACGAGCGCCGATCGGCCAGATGCAGAAAGTTCGAGTATGGGGCTTCTAGAAAGCTTAATTCTTCTGTTCGATACTAGATGGCGCTGTTGGTCGAAAGATCAAGATTGATATTTTTTAGGAAGCCTTCCTCGCTCTGGTCCCCAACACTAGATGGCGCTAGTTCCAGGTACCTGACGTCAACTTAGGCGCGTAACACTGCCCCCTCCTAAGACATGCTCGTCCCCAGCATTATCGGCCCCATAATAACGCGCCAGGCGCCACATGGACGATCTTAGGAGTCCCTCTTGCGCCTTTTTGTATCCGGTAGGTTACATCGTGGATCCTGGTCACAATCCGGTACGGGCCGTCCCATTTAGCTTGAAGCTTAGGAGATTTCCCTTTGCTGCGGTCTGGATTGAGAAATACTCGAGCCTTTTTTTTTTTGTGCATACCGGTTTATGTTACGGCATTTGTTGCCTGATTCGGTTCGCTTTGGGCTTGCGTTTGATGTTGAATCTCTTTGCCGATTGTCTACAACTTTTGGTAGGTACCTCTCCAATGTCTGATTAAATCGTTCTACCATTCCATCAGATTGCGGGTGATAAGAAGTCGTTCTTGTATTATGGGTAACTCGGCAAGTTTCTTGGAATATTTGAGACTCAAAATTCCTTCCTTGGTCGCTGTGAATCTATAAAGGTACTCCAAAACGACAGAAAACTTCATGAACTAGTTTATCTGCAACTGTTGAAGATTCTTGGATTGGAATGAAATGGAATGAATGGAATGGAAACCGAGGAGAAGCGACATTTCTGCTGGGATGAAAGTTGCAATATTGCATTCCAGGAGCTCAAGGACCGTCTGTGCTAAAAACCCATTTTGGGATACCCTGATGCAAGCGAAGAATTTATAGTTAACACAGACGCAAGTGATATAGGACTTGGTGGTGTGTTGTCTCAACGGAATGGTGACCAAGAGGTCGTGAAAGCGTACTTCAGCAAGTCGTTGTCAAAACCGGAAAGGAACTATTGTGTCGTAAGAGCGAATTGCTAGCTGTGGTAAAATCGTTGCAGCATTTTAGCAAATATCTTCTGGGGCGGAAATTTCACTTACGAACTGACCATGCTTCACTAAAATAGATATTGAAGTTTAAAAAATCCAGAAGGACAAGTTGCGAGGTGGATTGAACTACTGCAGGAATACGATTTTGAGATCGAACATAGCAGCGGGAAATCTCATGACAACGCAGATGCATTGTCAAGAAGAACTTGTCCTGACGATTGCAAATATTGTACTAGGCAAGAGAGTAAGGAAGTGGTATCCGTGAGCATGCTCAGGACAGAGTACCTCAGCAACGAGTGGAAGGACAGCTTACAACATGCACAGCAGGAGGATCCGGACATCAAGCCGATTCTGGAATGGATGAAGGCCAGTGCTCCCAAGCCCAAGTGGAGCGACGTCTCGGTTAGCTTATGCAGAGGTTTGGCTATATCTGCAAAGTTATTCGCAAATCGCCGGTAATAGGAGCACAAACCCAAAAATGCTCTAACCTGCGTCTTGTCTTTTGGAACCGGCCAATCCTTGACAGCGGCGTTCCAGGTTTTGAAGGTGTTCCTCAAACGTACGGCCCACGATGATGATGTCATCCAATTAGACCAGACAGGCATGGCCAATTAGCACGGTAAGTACAAGCTCCATCAGCCTTTCAAACGTTGCTGGAGCATTGCACATTCCAAACGGCATCATTTTAAATTGCCACAGACCCTTTCTCGTTGAGAACGCAGTTTTCTCCTTGTCCTTAGGGTCAATTTCAACTTGCCAGTAGCCACTTTTTAGATCCAGCAAGCTACACCACTTTACTCGTGTAAGCATGTCCAGCGTGTCGTCAATTCTTGGCAAGGGATAGCTGTCCTTCTTTGTAACGTCGTTCAGATGGGGGCAGTCAACACAAAACCGCATGCTGCCATCGTTCTTTTTTACCAGCACCACGGGTGAACACCATGGACTAGACGAAGGTTCAATAACACCATCCTTCACCATTCCCTCAATCATGGTTTCCACTTCCTTTTCACGTGCTACCGGCAATCTTCTTGGCCGCTGACGGATAGGCAATTCTTCACCTGTGTTTATTTTGTGTTGAACTAAGCCAGTCTTTCCTATGACAGCATCGTTATAAGAATACATTGGCGTACTTGAGTAAAAACTTCTTCGCCTTGACCATTTCGTTCGGCGAGAGAACGCTGTGACAGTCTTCCAAAAGTGTGGTCATTCTCGTTTGTGCATCCTTGCTGGGGGTCCCACTCGATAGATATTACTAACAACCGTACGAGAGGCTCCAGTGTCTATGGTCAGTTTACACGGCATTCCGTTGACCTCGCCCTTAATGATTAGACTGTTCCCATCATGGGGTTGTGAGATTAAGGTCTTTGGGGTGTCATGGGCGCCGAGCGGGGTCTGGGTAACATAAGAAACAAATATGTGAATGTGTATAATATTTATAAGAAACATGTAAGGCCACAATAAAGACACTACAAAGCAAACAACTAGATAATTCATAAGCATAATCTACATTTATCTTAGCACTAAAATATCAACATAATTACCACATTTTTTATCATCACAGGGGCTCTTTTAACATCAGCCAGCACCCGCCAGTTTCCCTGCTGCCGCTGGGCGTTGCTGTTAGCTGCACCACCCTCTCGAGATCGATCAACTTCCCTTTCTACAGTTCGCTTAGGGCAGCTGGATCGAAGATGACCTCTCTCCCCATAGCCATAGCACCTAGGGCTGTATACTTTATTGCAGTCGCCAACTGTAGCTGCTGCAACCTTCCTGACGTGATAGTAATGATGACCCTGCCGCACGGCTTCCACCTTCAGTGCATGGGCCAAGGCGTCCTTAAGCGTCTCGTGCCTTGATTGAATGTCTGCACCAGGTTCCCTTCAATGAGCGCAGGTACAGACCGGTATGCTTTTCGCACCAGCTTCTCCACCTCTAGAGCCCACTGCTGAAGGTTTTCATTGATGCGCTGCACGCGATCTTTAAGATGCACCCGAAAGACATGTTCCAGGTAAGCGTCGCCATATGTCGCGTCCAATGCCTCAAAGAGCTGCTCATAAGTCACTTCCTCACCGAGAGCTTCCAGAACTGTTAAGGCCTGGTCGCGCCTAGTGTGAGGGCAGGCATGGCCTGACTTTTATTCCAGCCGTTCGCTTTCATGACAGCCTAGAACTGGATTTTGTAGGCTGACCAGGAAGTCCCGTCGAACGGCGGCGCTTTGAATCCACGTACTGAAGGTGTTGTAGTTGCTACGGGGGGCTGTTATTCCATCCCCAAGTTTGAGGTCGTTCAGCGTTTTTTTTTTCATATCAGCCATCACTTTGTTCAATTGGTTGATTCGGATCTCAGCTTCCGACAGACGTTTGTCACACTGAGCAACTTTATCCTTCAACTCCCTTATATCTTTTCCGAAGGTAGCGTGAAGGTATTTCATGAGGAGCATCTGCTCTTCTTTATCGCGTTGGAGCTGCTCTTCTAAACGACGAGCCTGTTCCTCCTGCCAGCGGGCCCGTTCCTCCTGCCGGCGGGCTTGTTCCTCCTGTCCGCGCTGCAGCTGCTGGAGCATCACCATCAGGCACCTGACTTAGCTGTGCAGCAGCAGCGCAGATAAGTCAGGTGCCACAGACGTAGGAGCTACTGACGGGCCGGCCTTCGTGGCCGGAGGCTGGCCCTCAGATCTGCTGACGTTGACTTTGGGTATGGACACCCTCCATTTCGTCCTTAGGTAAAATAGGCATGATTTCATCCCACTTCTGACACCAATTGTTACGAGCTCGAGGTTCGTGACAATAAAAACTGCTGATTGAATTACCAAAATTTACACTTTTTACCGATTAATTTTACCGATTTTTACTGTTTACCGAACACCAATTAAAACTTAAAGACACTAATCATCAATTACACTGATTTACTTTATTTCGCTCTGAAGCTTCGCTTGTCTCGTTGAATTCAATACTGCCCCGATCGGCGTTTAATCGCACATCCAGAATATTCTAGTGGATACGAGCGCCGATCGGCCAGATGCAGAAAGTTCGAGTATGGGGCTTCTAGAAAGCTTAATTCATTAGTTCGATACTAGATGGCGCTGTTGGTCGAATGATCAAGATTGAAATTTTCTAGGAAGCCCTCCTCGCTCTGTTCCCCGACACTAGATGGCGCTAGTGCAAGTACCTGACGTCAACTTAGGCGCGCAACAGTATAATATACGTCTGGTGTAATTTAGACGATATACCGCCATCTAACGGAAGCTATAAGATCATCGATTATGATTCCCCGTGGGTCTTCTTTCAACAAACCTGTCATTTTTATAGATTACTTTCCATACTACGTACCCAAAAATTAAAATAGGTGGAACTGTCAGCCCAGTGCTTATATAGTACACAATTCCGGCATCTACTTTTAAAGTCATCATGTATATCCACGAATAGGTGGGCCCGAAAATCATTGATGTTACCACCTCCATTAAATTGAAAAAAAGATATCATTTTTCCTAGAAAAATAATTATTGATCACAATATAATCATTTAATGATCTAATGAACATTTTAAGAAAAGTTTCTTAATACTAGATAAATATTATATAATATACACATAACACAAGTAAGTGAGTGAGGATAGAGAGTGCACTGCACATACACTTGGGCACTGTAATCCTGTCCTGCGCCAATGGCTAGCCTCCGTGGCTGGAATTCGGTCTGGAGGACATTATTTTTATTATTATTATTATATTCAATAGGGACACGGCAGTTCAGAGACAGAGGCTAAGCGCTGGCCGTGAATTTCACAGTAACACAAACGAAATGGCAATTTTGAGTACTGATTTTCCACGTTCTCGGCGGTGAAGGAACACTGGAAATAGGCGATGGATTTAGTGTTTCATAAAAATGAGAATTTTTATAGTGTTACTGTAAAAATGTAATTGCAGTAACGTAAAGTCGAATGTACCGTATTTGTTCCCAAAATTCAAAGAACTCTAAGCTCTCGAGTGATTGATTGACGAAGCTCCGGCGACAGATAACATTTTAAAATGATATAAAAATCAGATTTTAAAAGGACTTAACACACTGATTATTGGAAGCAGCATCCGTTTTCCAGATGGTATGTTTATGAAAAGGCAATAAAAACAAAAATGATGAAACAGAAATTGCTAATAAGCTTGAAAAACATCTGATTATAGTAAGTGGAAGCCTGTCACCAATCTCGAATAAATAATTCCACTAGTTATGATCGAACGCCACACGGCTTCAGAGCTTACTGGGACGCTTAAATCCAGGAACCAAATTGTATGTGATGCTGTAAAGCAAGAATATAATATAAGTATGGTATCTATCCAGATGGATTCCAGAACCCTAATACGTTTCCATTTTTAACAATGTTGGAGTGAAAACGGGCTAACAGTTTACATGATGGCAAATGGCTCTGAATGCCCCCGAATGTTGTTAACCCTGAGATCTACAACGAAACTTTTTATTTTCTATACGTACGTCCGTTTTAGCTATGAGCTATGGAAAGAGCTATGGTCAGGGTTTCTTTGCGAGATATATTAAAAATAAGGATATCCGTAGTAAAACCAAAGTAACCGACATAACCCAACGGCTCGAAGAACCGACAACAGATGAGGAAAAATGGTTCTAAGTGGCAATTTCGTAACGCTAGGTGAAATGTAGGGCCGCCCCCACTAGATGGAGTGGCGACCTGGTTGGACATGAAGTTGATGGATGCAGGTGGTTCAGGAGCGCGTTTTGTGGCACTACTTTGGGGAGGGCTAGTTTCATCTGTGAACTTGTGAAGTATAACTTGTGAACTATAATGTTGATGATAATTATGTTCATTATTATTATTATTATTAAGAACTTATAAATAACATACAATCACAGGCAGTGACCAACCTACCATTTAGTACCTTTTAATACATCAAATCAAAAAATTAAAAACAAAATTGAAAACCCATAAAAATGTGAATGCTTGATTTATTTTTATAATTTTCTTTTTATAATATTTTTTGTAAAGCCGATTATGTTGTAAGTTAGGTTTTTAGGATAATAAGCATGTTAGACCATGCATTGGCGGTGTACAAATGTTAATTAAGACATTACATTTCGTAGGTGATGTAAGAGGCTACAGATACAAACACCAGTAGATGGACAGCAATCCTATTTCTATTAATAGCATTAAAAAAACTGCGGTTGCCAACCCACCTGCCAAGCTTGGCACCCTCTAACTATAACTGGCAATTATCCTCCTTATAAGCCTGTAAGAAGGCCATTGTTCAGCTGCGAGTTCGATAAGCAGTGTGATGATGATCCAAGCTGTAACTATAAATTCCAACATCTTGGATATAATCTTTTAATCAAAGTATTATATCCAAAATGTAGGGTCACATGGGCTTACGGATGTTGTAGGGTTTAGCTTTTGTAATAATACTCATTATTATAATAGAATTAGGGAAATAAATAACGACTAGAAAATATTATTACATCTTTGTCGTTTATTGTATCGTGTGCTTGTTTCGCTTATTTACAAATGAAGATACTTATAAATTATGTTCCGTTTCTCTTGTGAATTTTGTGTTGTTATTTTTAATTTCTTATAAACTCTAAAACATTAAGAAAGTTTGTATAGATTCTTACCTAATTCATCACTCGTTACAAGTTTCGATGAGATAGATCTTAACGCTGTAAATGATGTCGCATTAAACATCTCTATTGCAACAGCTGAAATAATATAATTTCAAATAAACAAACCCAGAACGATCATTAAATAATCGATACAAAATACACAAAAATTTACCCAAGTACATCTCCAAGCCATTTCTAGCCAAACCTGTAGCCAAGGCTCCTACAATTTTGCTGACGTTGGAAATTAATCCTAACATAGAATCGTCCCATTTTAATTTTCTACTGAAAATACTTATTGAAATTAGTGCTCCTAAAACAAATTTCAGTAGTTAGACAATATTTATTTGGTAGAAACATCATACATGACTACAGCGTATATTATAAATATCATATTTAAGGTATCAAATTTAAACAGTGTCTTAAAAACATAGATGAAATTAACTCTTTTACCATGTTACTTTTCGAAAATATTAAAAAATAATCGATTGAGCAGAAAATTGAATATTTACTGCTCAAAATTCGTATATACGCAAGAATCCGATGTAATGCTGACGTGAAAAAATCAGCTTGCATAGATCTAAGTGTACGGACACGGGAGACATCACATCACACCACTTTTGAAAACGTGAATAATATGCTACGGTTTCTAGTTTTAAATTCTAGTCAAAAGAAACATTTTACGCAAAAACACAACTCAATGGTTTTCTATTTTGTTACATTCGGATAGGTTCCGTGCCCTTGACTAGGCATCTTGGCTTACCTGAAATATTAGCATAATATAATAAATACGTTTGGTCCGAGTATACGAGGGAGTGTCCTAGTGCTAGCGCATATATTTGTGGTACTAATTAACGTTTGATTAAATTTTTGGTACTAATTTACCTAGAATCCTTGATACATGCTGACGAAATCCGATGGGTGATAAAATTGACCAGTAAAAATTGTGAAATTCACATTTTCATCATTTTCGAGATTTAAATTTCTCTCACATATAAAGTGAAAATCTTTATAATTAATTATAATTTCGGAATGTTAATTAAATAGATGATACCTACCAAGTGTATGTATACCAATGTAAAACGTGCTATAGAAACTGTACTTGACGGCATCCCAATTGAAACGATATCGAGTAAAGAGATATCGGATTGTATATTCTCCTGAAAATTAAGATTAGCCAATAAAATATTTTATACTATACTGAATTTATAAACGTGTTACATAACTATATTTGCGACTGTAACAGCCGATGTTACTAAATTTATTTTGAGGGAACAAAATCTTCATACAGTATTTTTTTATTCTCCTGCTACTTCTTCCAAACTGTGGAAGTGATTAATGCAAAACAAACGATTTTTAAACAAGTTATAGATTTTAAACCTTAAATAAAATAACGAATAGTAAGTAGATTGACAAAATAAATTATGACACAAAAGGTTTTAAAATTACCTAAAGAATTAAATATTTCATACCCGTAGGTATGTGCCAGTATTTGACATTCTAATGTCATAGTTGACGCAGGCTACCTTCAACTTTTAATTATTGATTGTTACAATTAAATCATATAATCCTAAAAGAGGAATATACCTACATATGCACATGTCGAAGTATAATCTGCTAGTTGGAAAAATAATTTTGAGAGAAAAAAGTGGCTATTTTATGTTTTCACATGAAAATCCAAAAAAAAGTTTCGCTTACTTATGTACCAGTAAATCAGCATAAAATATCATATACGCTAGGCTACGGTTCACGAGAGGTACATTTATTTAATTGTCATAATACAAATACATCAAAGAGATAACATCAAAACGAAATAAGAGCTGTCATCACGTACATTTGTTTAAAAAACGGACTACCACAGACATAACATAGTGATTTGATTGAAACTTTAGTTTTATATTACTCTAGAACTCTATTCCTAAATTATTATTAGTAGTAGTAGTGAAGTAAAGTGTGAATGTTTTGAGGGGATTGCTCTAGCAGTGGATCTACGGCGACTAGCAACATCGAGATTGGGGGATCGAAATATTGGCTTATGTGATGCATATAAGGAAAATTTAAATAATAAAATAGAACTAAATGAAATATATTATTCATAGGTAAAACCTTTGCTCTGAAAAGAACCTGGAAGAAAACCATTTTCTTTTAAAGCTCAGCTTAGTTTAGGTCAAATTGACTATAACAGGAATTAACTATAACAGTAGAAAGTTGAATACTTTAATCTCTGTTTGATCACGAGTGTAGCAAAGTACAACCAGTTTCAAATTCATTTAATTAAACACGTTAAATTTTAAATACGTTTCATCCTTACTAAGCGTATTATTCGTGTAAATTTAGAGTCATTATAAAAATCTCAAGATTAATAAATACATACCGTGAGCGGGTCCATAAATAAAAGCAATAGATGCAAGGACCAAGATAGACTTTGTTCTTCTATGATTAGGACCGTTTTTGAAAGCTACTGTTAGAGTGTCTTTGACATGTTTTATGTCGAAAAAAGATTTTAAAAATCCCCATAAACTAAATGGCTTCTCCTGTGAACAATATTATAATATCGGTATAACTGTCACTATACAAAATTACATTATTCTAATTCTCATATATAAGATAAAATAAATTTAATTGTAAAATTATTTAAGTATAATTTGAGATTCCACCGCGTAATTAATAAATCTTTCTTGTTCTGTGTCTGTTTGTTTGGATACATAACATATATCACTTTTCATCCTTAAGAGGATATAGGAAGTCAGCTCAAATTCTAATTTCATCCCCACTTCCCCGCGCGTCTTATGCTATCTACCGATATATTTTTAATCACTAATACTGTATGTCGATAGGTCGTTAGATACTTATTTCATTAGGTTTATCATATTTTGCCAGCGACTTCTTATTTTTATTACGGTTATTTCCCATTTTAATTTTACGCCGTCCTGTTGCGTAATGTGTATTTTGATTGTAAGTGACACAGCTTTTCTCTTTCAAAGCTGAAGCAAGACTGATGGAGACTGATTAGGTGGCAGAAAACAAGCTTCAATACACCGATAGTTTAGGTAATTTCTTTTTACAGTGAAAATAATGGTAATTAAAATAAATAAAAAACATAAGCCCTGCTTTATAGTTATTTCAGTTAGTGTGCAAAGTTTCATGATCTAATTTAAAGTATTTTATGAATACCAGCGGTTTATTGTTCAGTTTAGAGGTAATTTGGATTTCTTTCTATCGCGAAAATTTTACGGAATCGTGTTATCATCTAACATAGTACCTAACATTAATCCTAAACTTTACCATATATTTATTTCTAAATTAATGCTGCAATATTAAAACGATCAGTGCTATCTATATCTTCTGCTGCAACGGGAAATGACAAAATTTCTTCCACAATGATAACTATGATTTTACCATGTATTCTCCTAGTTCTTACTCATATATTTAATTTCTCATTATCTTTCTCCTGTTTTCCACACTCGTGGAAGTTAGCACAAATTATTCCAATAGCCAAGGTTGCTAACCCTACATTACATTCCGAATTTTGACCTATATCTATATTACCATTCCTCTCTAAAGTACTTGAACATATTTTTCACAATCAATTGTCTTCTTATCTTAATTTCAACAATATTTTAAGTATATTTCAATCCGGATTCCGGCCCGGTCATAGTACAACAACTGCTCTTTTTCAGTTAACTGATGATATCCGTCGAGCCATAGATCAAAAACAATTAACCGTACTCGTTTTATTAGATTTCAGCAGTGCCTTTAATTCTGTTGACTTTGATATCCTCTTAAAAATTCTGCAGTATATTAATGTTTCACCTTCTGCCATTCTCTGGCCTTCTTCTGGTTTGGATTCCTATCTTCGGAGTCACTCACAATGTATCCGTTCCAATGATACTTATTCCAACTGGTGTAATCTTATAACGGGTGTACCCCAGGGTGGCGTCTTGTCTCCTTTGCTCTTCACCATTTTTATCAATTCTATAACAAAAATAATATCCTCCAATTTTAATCTTTATTCAGACGATTTGCAGCTTTACCGTCACTTTGTGGCACCTGGAGCTAAATTGGCGATAGAAGCACTGAATGATGACTTAAAGAGAATTATTCGTTGGTCCAGATCACATGGTAACTATAAATCCAAGTAAGTCTCAAGCAATAATAGTAAGTAGCAGATATACTAGTAGCTTAATTGATAAATGAACCCTGCCATATGTGATTATCAATGGCACATCAATTACTTATACTGAATCTGTGAAGAACTTGGGCTTAATTATTGACAATAGGTTGTCATGGGGTCCTCACATAACGGACTTAGGTAGAAAAGTTTATTATGCTTTCCACTCATTAAAACGTCTTCAAAGTTTTTTACCCTTATCAACGAAAATCTCTCTTGTTCAAACTCTTATTTTGCCTATCTTAGATTACGCTGATGTCTGTTTTTTGGATGCCACAGAGGAGCAATTAAACAAACTTGAGCGATTGCAAAACCTTTGCATTCGGTATATTTTCGGACTCAAGAAGTTTGACCACGTCTCTAAATATAGAAAGCAACTCAAGTGGCTCCCGATCCGATTTCGCAGGAATACTCGTATCCTTTGTCTCCTTTTTAACATCCTACATAGCCCAAATTTCCCTACATACCTCTGAAATCGATTTACCTTTCTTAAATCCCCAGATACAGTATGTTGATCTCACCTTAAAACTCTCTTAAAATTCCCACCCTTTAATACTCATTCATATTCCCGTTCATTCTCCGTACAAGCAGTAAGACTCTGGAATTCGCTTCCTACTCACATTCGAGAAATCAAAACAGCGACATTGTTCAAAAAACGAGTAAAAGAAAATTATTTATCGCTGTCTTCTATGTAAGTCTCAAATCTCTGATATTTACTATACTGTTACAAATATTTGTATGTACATATATGTATGTACACATATGTATGTATGTGTGTGTATATATGTTTATATATTTAAGTATGACTTTATATTATATTAAGTATTTATGTTTGTTTAAATATGAATATATTCATGTATTTGTTTATATATAAGTATTTGAGTTGACGTATATTTTTATTTTATCCCCATATGTGTTGTATAATAACAAAGTGCACACCTTATAATCATTATGTGCATCATATGTGTTTGATACTGGCCTGCTGGAAGAAATTTCATTGTGAGATAAGTAGAGCCTTTGTACAAACTTTTTATCATGATGTGTCCTCTCCTTTACTTGTGTGTACATAAATTGTGAAATAAATAAATAAATATTTTCGGCATAACGGAGAATCTTGCTAAGCCATTTAAGGAAGTATTTTTATTATATCCCCTTAAATAATAAAATTAATTTGATTTACTGAAACAAGACCTAAAAATCAAAACAGTTCTACACCTACACCACAATACATTTCATCTATTAAATATTGAATACAAGTGCATTTGTAAAAGAAATGTTTTTAAATGAAACAAATAAGGACGCCATTTCATGTGAGTTAGAGCGAGACAGGTATAGATGTCATTTGATATACGAATAAATTATGTTAGATTGGATTGCAAAAAAGCAAACCTATCAATATATCGGAAGAAAAGTATAAAATTAAACAATTTTTTTTTAAATATTTTTAAGCTCTAAAAAATGTTCAGAATGAATGCAAGCCTATTTCTTTTTTAATAGTTTAAAAAAAGATCACTACACTAATCTTCCGTATCTTTTTAAATTAATTTCTGCAGCAGCTACTCTAAATTTTTGGCGTAGTTCAGTTATGTTTTGATTAAGTTTTGCACAAGTTTTGTCTTTTTTCTATATAGCATAGGGTGACAAACGAGCACACAGTCCACCTGATGGTAAGTGGTTGCTGTGGCCCATAGGCATCTATATCTATCCTCGATTACGAATCAAAATGCAGATGCGTTGTCACCCATGAGGGCTAAGACGGAATGCCTCGTTTCCAGTAAAAAGGGTCTCTACTCGGTTTATTTTACTGTGTTCGTCCTTGTATACTTCTCTCAGTTTGCGGGTAAAGTTAAAAAAGAGTTTAGTCTAGAGAGCGAGGTGGCCACACAATTGAACCAAGAGGGCCAATCAATTTATTAGAAAATTCATTATTGAGTATCTAAATAATGAATTTTCTCTTTCAAAGTAACGTATATGACGCTGGGCAACCGTATTATTGAAACCTCACTATTCGAAGCATGTTGAGCAGTACACCGTCAAACAAGTCTTGTAAATTGTTTTCCATGAAATTCAAATAATTTTCACCATTCAAGGTCTCCGTTAATTCAAAAGGACCAATAATTTGACCGTTCATTATTCCAGTCACTAAATTTATTTAAAATTGGTATTGCGATTGGTCCTCTAGTATTAAATGTGGGTTTTCAGCACAGAAATCGTAATAATAAGACAATAAAAGTCTCATAGACGCTTGGCCTTGTCGCCGCTATGATGTGTAGATGAACATCATTCAACATTTTGTGATTTAGTTGCGCGGAGAACATCGTACTTGAATTCACGTTATTATAATAGTGAAATGCAGCATAATCAGCTGTAAAAACTCGTCAAGGACGTGTAATTCAACTAATAAAGGCATAACATTTCATCGGTAAGTTGATTATTTACTAATTATCATTGTTTTGAATAATGTACATCTAGATGAATAATTTACTATGACCTTTCTTAACTTTCATTTATTACTTTTCGTACTGTACAATTACAATTACTGCTTTTGTTCCACCAAATACGCGACGCACGCAACGTTGACAAACTATTCAAGCAATGTAATGTGAAACATTAGATATCATTGTGCATTGCGTGTGTTTATAATACTGTTGGGCGCCTTAGTTGACGTCCTGTTCCCCGCACTAGCGCCATCTAGTTACAGGGAGACCAGAGCGAGGAGGGCTTCCTAGAAAATGTCAATCTTGACTTTCGACCAACAGCGCCATCTAGTATCGAATTGAAGAACTAAGCTTTCTAGAAGCCTTACACTCGAACTTTCGGCGCCTAGTCGGTTAGACGCGATCGGGGCAGTATTGAATTTGGCGAGACAAGCGAAGCTTCGGAGCGAAATAAAGTGAATCAGTGTGATTAATTATTAGTGTTTTAAGTTTCAATTAGTGTAAAGTGAATTAAAGTGTAAATTTTGGTAATTTAATCGGCAGTTTTTATTGTAACGAACCTCAAGCTCGTAACAATACGGCTGCAGGCATGGGTCGCTTAATGCGTATGTTTTAAGATGTGGCGACATTGGTTTTGGAAGTAATCGAGGGCTAATTCATTTCTATTGTCTTATTACCATTTCTGTGGTTTTCAGTATGCCAACAATGAATATTGTGAATGTTGAAATAACCATCTTTTTTGCTTGTTGTTTCAACGGTCCATAATATTTTATCAAAAATTGTGGAACTTCGCTATCTTTTGCTGACATTGTTTTGCAAAAGTTTATTCTAAGAGAGTAGTCACGCGGTAGTACATTCCGTACCCGTATCACATGATATGTATGACATATTAAAATTCGATGTGTGTACTTTATTCAATCGCACGTACTGAAGTACTGATTTCATTTAAAACTACATCATCGTAGTCCAATCGGAGTCTTCCACCAAGGTTCCTTCTAAAACGCCTGATGAACATGAACAAAAACGCTGTGATCCGGATGACGTTCGGCATTTGGGTACCTTTCTCGATAAAGCCTGACTACGTTACGTACTAGTGTTACATCCATATTCTCCGTAGATGAGGTGCAAGTTTATATATTCTTCAGATGAGTAGAGATGAGGCGTGATTAGGATTACTCGAAGTAGTGTAGAAAATACAGTTCACTGTTTTTTATCCGCTGCAGAGTTTGAAAACATAATATTCGTGTGTCACAGTTACAAGTCTAGAAAAAGTCAGGTGAGAAAAAAAATAATGATTCTTGTTTGTTTTCAACTTCATAAAGCAAAAATCGTTAGTACGGAAAAAGGAGAAACAAAAATACAAATATGCGCGTTAAACAAAGGAGTGTAGCGTACAGACCACTAAAAGACAAAAAACTGCCAGAGCGTCACCATCTGTTTCAGCCAATCACACCAATTAGCATCTCTATCAGTCTCGTTCTAACTCAAATGAAATGGCGTCATATTTGTTTCATTCAAAAAAATTTCTGTCTCGTTTGCCCTTGTTAAATTCAATATTTAATAGGTGAAAAGTGATACGTGTTATACTATTTTGAAATCTAGGATAAATGGGCCATCTTTTGAAGTAATTATGTATATATATTAAGTGTCAAACTAATCGTAATAACTAACATATAATATAATTTAATGTATGATTGAGAATTAATACTTAATAACTTCTCACCTCGGTTTTCTTTTCTTGCTTGTGCCTTTGCGGATCCTTAATGCAAAATATACCGTGACATATGCTGCATACATATAACATTGAGCTCAATGTAAAAATCCCATAATACCCAATATATTTTAATAATATTCCACTTAATGCAGTTCCTATAGGTCCACCTGCTGTAAGACATAAGTTTGCTATGCCAACTCTAAACGTCCTTGTATCCTCACTGGATATATCACTAATATAACTAAAAGCACCCATATATGTTGTTATCCAACTACCTGTAATAGCTGGAAAAAATGCCTCAAAAAATATTGTAACTTGAACTGGCAGTTCATAAAAAAAATAGGCATTGAGTATATTACTTAAGCATGCAAGCAGGTCACCTACGATAGGAAGTAAAATACATATCTTTCTTTTTCCAGTCCTATCACTCCAGGCGCCTAAAAACAAAATTATGAAACTTGGTAATGCTGTTAAAATAATATTTTTCCAAGTTTCCATCGACGCGATTAGCTCCTGTATGTATAGTTCTTCTTTCTGATACATGTTGCCTTCTTTTGCAATAAGAGCATCGCAGATAGCATCCCCATACTTTAAGTTGACCCGACATGCTTTATCAAGGTTGAGGTTTTGAGTTGCAAGTCTTGATAATACTCCTGGTATAACGTAACCAGCCAAAACTGGTTCTAGAGTTATGTTATCTTTTAGGTAAGCTATTTTCTCCTTTAAACTCTTTTTCTTAACTTTAACTTGCTCTTTTAAAGGTTCTTCTTCGCGTGTAACCATTTTGCATGTGGCCTTACAAATGAATTTTCTCTTTTGTAGCAAATTATTAACAAAAGTCAAATATTAACAATGGAACGATATGAATTGCTTAAATATAGAATTTATCAGTAAAACGCATACTGAATAGTCCTCAGTGATAAATATTGAGACGTGTTTGTTTTTATTTCATTGCCATGTCATGTATACTTTGCAACATAATTTTCAGTTCGAGATAGAAATATAAATCACAGCCAACAAGTATATCAATTTGAATCAAAACCTCATATATTTTCAATAAAAAATATACAGATTTTATTTTGACAACTATAACTTATTATAAAAACCACGCACGTTCACGGTGGCATAATAAACATATTAAAAATTACTCAAATTCTACAGCTGCTTCAATCTTTTTTGCTGTATATGCTACAGTATAAAGAATTAATAATACTTTATACTGTAGCATAGCCTAAGATGAAGTAAAAAAATTAATTTATCTGAGAGCGTAGCTAACACTACATATATACTCGCATTAGTGTTAAATGTAGAATATACAAATGGTCAAACTAGAGACAAAAAACACTTGATGATAATAAACAATTGATGATAAATTTATCAAATAATTTCAATTTATTTAAAAGAATATAATTTGAAACCAATTTATTAAGAAGTAGAAACTGGCATAAAAATATAAAATAATTTCCACATAATGTAATTCCCACATAAGCTTTAGAGTAAGAAGCTGTCGTGTCAAAACTATTTTACTATTTTAATTTTTTTTTAGTCTTTAGTTTCTAATAATGTTTTTACCCCTTCTTAAGGAATAACATCAGAAGTTTAAGGTAATAAATGGAAAGTTGTTTTCATCACCTATTCTTAGGCATAGAATTTTTCTTCAAATTCATATGGGACCAACTGCTAAGTAAATACCTAATGTATTTAGTGACCTCTAACTTATTATTATATTTTATATTATGTATATTGGCATCTTTACCTATTTACTAACATATTTAAATCGGTTCAACTGTTTCCTAGAAAAAAGGGAAACACCTAAACAGATAAACACTTTATCCTGAATATAGAAAATTCCTTTATTAAATATGTTAAAAAGTGTTTTCAGTTTCCCTTACTTATCATTCAAAACTATGCACTAGGTTATTTTGCTATTTTCGCTCTTATTCTGTTAAAGTTTAATACATTCTAGATCGAGTCCTGTTATTACGAGCATATTGGAGCTGGAGTATGGTTTTACCATTATGAAATATATGTTACAGACTGGTAATCGACTCATTTTAGGTTAATTTTTAACTTCCCGCTAAGAAAAATGAAAATTTTCAAAAATCGTGGAGTTATTGTTTTTATCCCGTTTTTCGAAAATTGAGTTTTTATAAAATTTTGAGATTTTAAGGTTACAGGAAACCATCATGAAAATTTTTCGATGGTGTCTGTATGTCTGTATGTATCTATGTGTGTGTGTGCTTAGTTATATAGCTGATATGAAGCATCAACGTTCCGGGTAGTCTGCAGTTTGTGATCATATCCTAGACGGCCCCAACCATTACATCAGATTTGATAGACCATAAATCCTCGCGAAAGAACACCGGTTCCTACCAAGGATGATACGTGAGACTATTGAAATTAAAAAAAAATCCTAATTTCAATAGAGAAGGAGGCTGGGTACTACCACCTGCTTGGGATCCTATAATCAATAAAATTAAAACTAAACCCAAGCATACCACTGCAAGACCTCAGGACATAGTCAGTTCATTTTGCATAGATCGGACCATAAACAATAATTAAAAAAGCTGAAGGTACTCCGGGTTTAACAATGACATCGGGACGTCAGTCATCTCAGTCCCCCGTGACCATGGGTGCTGGAAAGCGCCCGAAACGTCGGGAATTAAAAATAAAAAGTAAAAATAAACGCGATAAAATCCGTAAAAGTAGTTTTAATCGTGTGCAATGTTCGCGTAAATATAAGAAATCATTAAACAGATCTGATTATATTAAAATTTATTTTATTACTGTTAGAAAAAATATTATTTACCTGGATAAGAACTTTTAGAACAAAATATTATTTACCTGGCTAAGAACATTTGTACAGCTTAATTATTAATCGCTGGTTAAATTTTATTGCATAAAATTACAACCTAAATACCTCTCACTGTTGGGTAGAGGCAACCACCAGGAAAAAAATTCATATGATAATAAAAATAAAATGGTGGCCTTTTATCCTTCATCGCTAAGGACGTAGTAACCGTTACCTTTACAGACATTCTAAAGTCTACTTATAATATTATAATAAACAACATGACTAAGAGTACAAACTGCGATATACAAAATTAGGCTTGTATGTTTCTGGAATCACCGCTTTTTCGTAGAAAATACCATTTTAATAAACATTATTACTATGATCCCTGTGGATTTGCCGCTTGATTATTCATCTAGGGTGAACGATTGAAACTCATTCTATACGGTCAAAGTGATTACTGATACTGTTTTTCAAATTATGGTGAGTATAAAAAGCGCTGACTTTTTTAATAATGACGAGGCATTTGTATCCCTACTATATTCCTGAAACTCTTCACCACTACATTAGAAGACGTTTTTTAAGTTACTTGACTGGAAAGGACACAATATTAGCTTAACGATGAGTATATAAAACGAATTCGATTTTCCGCAGATAAATATGTATTTATGACAGAATCTCTGGAGAACCTCAAAACTATGCTTGATAGTAAATGGCAATAGGCAGTAAGATCGCCCTTAGTATCCATTAGTTTATACAAGTTGTATGAAATATGGGTGCAAATACTGAAGGAGATGATACCATAAACCATTTAGAATATATTAAGCTAAACTTGTCTTAGGCGAAGTCTGCTCCTTTTCTATAAATGAATTTCGAAGGTCTTTAACAACAAAATCCATTTTTTTTCCAATGAATTAGCAATATTGAACAGTAATTTGTTTATTATTTTTTATTTATGTAACATGCGATTACTCAAACAAAATAATTTTCAAGCAACTTCATCATAAGAAAAACATTCTACGCATATTTAAGTATAAGAAACCAAAAAATTAAAGAAATTTTGTGTTTATGTCATTATAAAGTAATAGTTTTTATTGTTCAAACCTCTTTAGGCATGTGCTTAGTTAGTGTCCTTTCTTTTGAGGCACTATTTTGGAAGATATCTCATCCACTCTTGGAATTAGAGTGTACAAAGCAAATTGCGGTTGAATTTTTTTAAATTTGAACAGGACTATAAAATATTTTTTATAGTTCTGTATATAATAATAAAATTAGCCAGGGATGGTCTGCAGGTTCAATAAATTTTTTTTTATGATGGCATAGACACAACATTTCCTTAATTTTTCTTATTTATGCGAAAAATGTTTTTTTTTTTTTGATCATGAAGATGCTTGGAAAATATTTTGTTTGAGTAAACACACATTACATTAATAAAAAATTATAACCCAACAACTGTTACTGGACACTAATAGCAATTATTTAGAACCTTACCTAACTATTCTCAAAAAGAAGGCATCTCTAAGACAAGTTTAGCTTAATATGTTCTAATTAATTTAAGGTATCCCCTTCAGGCTTTGCACCCATCTTCAAAACACAAATTCCATAAACAAATAAACTATTTTCAATGACCTCACTAGTCTCATTCAATACAGAATAATACACAGTAGAATAGTATAATATTTATTCAATAGGTTTACAAGTGATATTTTTTGAAAGAATTTTTTTACTATTGTTTGGACAAAAATCTTTACTTGGAAGAAACAGCAAGAAATCAAGCAATATTTTTTATAATAAAACACAGGTTGTATATTTATCTCCCTCCGTATATGTCTTAATATGCACCCCGTTAAGACCTTTTCGTTGTGCATATCAATACTTTGATTGTTAATTGCTTATTATGGTGGCACACCTTACTCTAATATGTTACATATTATGTGTTTGAACTTGCACGTCACCATAATTTTATAAATTCTAAAAATAAAAAAGGTACGAGATAGATAATTTATATTTACACAAAAATGTTGGTTAAAGCCAACATTTCATGACAGATTTACTGCAAAAAGACTTAAAATTTCGATTTCCAAAATGACTCGTTTCAAATTCTCGCAATAATTAAGTTTGTCTGCGAGGATGTTATTGTATGTGACTTTACGCGTAGTGTAATACATCCCTTGTGTATCTGTCAACGTACTGCTTGTCATTCGGATATCCGTCGCTATAACATTCCGTAATTTCGGCGTAATACCTGTAATTCCACGCCGTTAATATTCGTAAGCCGGCGTGTGAATGGCGAAGATTTTGTACAGCCCGCTATCTGAATGAGTGTTACTTTAATTACGGGTGATAATCTTGTTGTCTTCAAGTTTTAAGTGCCTATGGGATTCCAGAAGCAAACACAAATCCGCTGTTCCATAGGAGTTTATGTCTTGGAACTTTGTCGTTATAATTATGATAAAAGTTTAATCTCCTAAAATGTATAATGTTTAAATACAAATTAAAGAAATCTAGTCCCTACGTATTGTGACTTTTAGGAGGCTGATCTTGTTCGTCCTAAAAATATAAAACTATTGATATCCTAATTCCATTTTAAGCAGTTGTAAGTACCGGTCTATATGAATTCTAGTCTAACTGAATTGTAAATTAATTAAATATATACCTTACATAATAGTTCTTGTAAACGAATATAATTTTTATTCAAATTATTAATAGAGTGGAAACTCAAAGAAATGCTTGACGACACTATGGGGCAGCGGTTTAGCATTGAGTTGCGATGCTTATGGCCGCGAGTTCGAACCCCGCACGGAACAAGTAGTTATATGACCTACAAATAACTGTTTCGGGACAGGATGTTTATTTTTGTGGAATTTATGAATGTAAACTGCCTCCACGATACAGGAGAAAATCCCAAGGGTAACGTAGTTTTTAGAGAAAAGGAGAGAATATTATGTCCCCGATAGATGACGTTATAATTTTCCCATTTACACATACTAGA